AACTACAAGCTTTCCAGTGATGTCTGTGAGAAAGGTATATTCACTCGACAAGCTCGCGCATCTGCGCCGCCGCGTGCTCAATCCACTCAGCGTGCTTTGTTTATCAGCTCGCGCACATCAGCTATACAGGCGTTAATACTGAATGTTTAACATTATATTCATTGCATACATATACTTCGTAGTAGACATCCTTAACTCCATTCTGCTGTCTGTTGTTCTGTTATCGGTGTTTCTTTGTCTGAATATGGCGCTTATCACATGCTGTGTGGTATTGGCGTTTGGTATCGAGGCATTTTAACGAGTACGAGTACAGGAGCTCAGTATCGGTGCATCCCTAGTTTTGTCTCGTCGTGCCGGGAGATGGATTCACAGTATGTTAAGGGGCTTAACATTTCCGTCACACGCTTGAGGTATTCAGCCAATCACAACGCACTGGATAGCTGGCGAATCAGCATACACCTCGCTTTTCAGAACGATGAGCTTTGTAAAAATCGATGCGTTTCAGAAAGGCGGGGCATAGAGGAGCAACAATAATGTACATTATGTGGAAAATAATGTTTTTTTAACCTTAAACCGCATAAACACATTGCATTACACCAAATACACAACATAATGTTCTTTTTAGCAACGTCATATGATCCCTTTAATAATAGGCTACTTAGTAAAAAGATGCCATTAAAAAACATATTTAAAATCTTTATGTTGTTTCTGCATTAATTTGGAGGTTCATTGTGAAATTATGACAATATAAAAATGCGATTAATCATGATTAACTACTGAAAAATTTGATTAATTATTTTTTTTCATCGATTGAAAGACAGCACTTAATGTTAACCTTTTATAGATTTTAGATTTCAATTTAATTTCTAATTTTATAGGTCCCCCCAGAAAGAGATCGGGATGGCCCCCACCCCCTTGGCCCCATTCAAATTTTCAGTTCGATAATCCAGCCCTCAAATGAAGCTAATTGAATAGCCCTGCTCTAATCCGTTAACATGGGTGCGGAAAAAATATGCTCCACATACACACTGCAAACGGAGTATGTGTGAAACAGGCATAACACGATGGTCTGCTCCGTTTGCTGAAAGCATGCAAAGGACAAGAATCTCAAAAATGTTTAGGGACAAAAAAAAGATAAATCAATAAATCTGTTTGTTGTTTTTTTCTTGTAAGTAAAGGAAAGGGAAAATTAAAAACATTGTAAATATGTTTAGTCATTGTAGTGCAATGACTGCCTGTTTTTGCAAAAAGAGTTTCATGGCCGGTAAAAACACATTTTTGGCTGGTAAATGTTATCACGTCACCGGCCATTGTGTGGCAAAAAGTTAGTTTTAGGCCCTGGTCATGCAGTATCGGAAGGTCGGGACAGCTGGTTTGAAAAAAATCAGCGCTTCGCATGACTCTTGTGTTTGACTTTACATTGACTTGGTTGTGTGTGTGTGTGTGTACCAAGCGGCAACCTCCCGCTCTCTCTTGTGAAGCCAACAAGGAAGTGACTTAAAGTGTAATTCATCAACTGGCCGCTAGAGGCTGTCTGCAAAAGGGTGTCAATCCCATAGACTCCCCATGTTAAAATGCCCAACTTTACAGCAGAAAAAAACATGTTTACAGCCTGGTTCAAAAAATTATTTTGGTCTATATAGCTAATTTTGCCCTTCATGACAACTGTGAGGGGGGTGAATTTTTTTTATAACTCATCCGTTTAAATTATATTAAGCCTTAAAGTTCTGCATAATTAAGGGCGTGGCCACTTGAGTGACAGGTGGATTGCCGCTGCTGTCACCACCGTTGAACTAGGTGGGCGTGGCTTCAGCAACCTGCTGACGCGCGGTGACACGCTGCCAAGATGGCGACGGCCGCCTGCGCCCACTATTGAGCTTCAAAAATGCTCTTTGGAAATCTATGGGTGACGTCACGGACACTACGTCCATGTTTTTATACAGTCTATGGTGTGTACACACTTTTGCAGCGTTGAGCAATGCAGTGCTGAAATTTGCGTGCTCACGAATCCTCTCATTATAAGGCCGCCTGCGCCCACTATTGAGCTTCAAAAATGCTCTTTGGAAATCTATGGGTGACGTCACGGACACTACGTCCATGTTTTTATACAGTCTATGGTGTGTACACACTTATTTGGGATTCAGTAGAATAGTTTAGAATAACCTCAACACCAGACAGAAACTGAATGCACGTCACAACTATTGCATTTTATCATGTTCTAGCTGGGGTCTCAGAGACCCCGAACAGCTCACCCAAAATATTTTTGCTACTACTCACGTCAATTATTAATTATAATGACACACTTGTGTATTTTATATTATTGATCAATATGTGAATCCACTGCCGGACTACGCATGACACGAGTTGGCACAGATTCAAAACTTTTTCAAAACATCCTCTGCTCCGCGATGTTTCATTAGATAAATTCTCTGTTAAATAACATTATTTATAACACATACTTATTTACATTTCAAATTTGCACATATCATACCTGTACATACAAAATTGTCTATATTCTATATTGTGTTTTTGCTTTTTTGTACATTGTCTATTTTCTCTATTTTTATATTATTCTTTTTATTATCTGTGTCCTGTCTCGTCACTGTCATTCGGTTGCACTGTGGAGCTTCTGTCACTAAAACAAATTCATCGTATGTGTAAACATACCTGGCAATAAAGCTCATTCTGATTCTGATTCTGATATGCTGGAGAAACGAGAAACCGAGTCTGACCACCAGATGTCGCTAATGCGCACTGTGTTAAAAAGCTTCGAGTAATGAACCGTTTTTCGGCACAATTTGATGAAAGCCTCAAACGGTTCAGAAAGCCTCGGTTTCCCATCACTACATTTTACATTACACACACAGTGTCCTCATAAACCATATATTCAAACACACACGCTGGCTGCACTGATAACCTATAGTTGATCTTAGATCTGCGCATGTCTGGTTCATAAACTGCATTTCTGCTGTCAGCTGTGAGTGCACAGACTGACACATTTTTACACAAAACATTGAATGGTGTTACTCGAAAAAGTCTATTCTACATTCATTACACTACTATAATACAAATATTAAAGTTAATACCGCTGCCTGAGAATCTGTTCTGGCGAAAGTCCTTGGCTGCTGGTGCTCGCGGTCGACTTGTTGTGTGCTGCGTAAACGTCCTGAAACGCTAATGAAAACTTACGCTCCTGACGTACGTGTCACAATATTTCTCAAGTTGACTTATGGGAAATGAAGTTAACTTCAACCCTCCTCTCTGAATTTCACCAACAGAATTTATGTATCGTGCACGACTTTCCCCGCCACGGAGAAATACTGTGAATTTTATACCACACGCACACACACAATGCGTGTGTGTGTGTACATATATTGGGGACAAATGTGCACCCAAAAGTGAGCTTTACCTGACAACATCTCCAAACACCTCCCTTTGGGGACGTCATCATTTGTAAAACTGATCAAAAAATAAAAGTAGTTTTTGTTTTTTTATTATTATTGTAAAATTGCAGAAAGTTTTCTGTAAGGGGTAGGTTGGTGTAGGGCAATAGAATATACGATTTATAAAAACCCACATAGACATGCAAATGCCACACAGAAAGGTATCCTGGCTCAGCTGTTACTTGAACCATACTGCACAACTTCTTGTCCAGTCCATTGTCATTTCTAGGCTGGACTATACGGTAATGCTCTTCTGGCTGGACTTCTATCATGTGCAATGAAACCTCTACAAATGATTCAGAATGCAGCATGCCTGGTCTTCAAAAAGCCCAAAGAAACCCATGTCACACCTCTTTTTATGAGGAATTGCTTGTTGTATTCCTCTTTTTTACTTTGGATAAAAGTGTCTGTTAAATGAATAAATGTTAATGTAATGTAAATGAATAATGATAGCAATGTTTTTCACCAACTAAGAGACATTATTAAAAATCAAACAAATAACTTTCTTACTTATGCCCGTCAGCCTTGTCATGGTATAGGCCACCAACCACAGACCTTCTGAATTCTCTGTATTAGGCAATTCTTTCCTACTGGTTCCAGGTGTATAGCCCATCTTGGTGACGTCAGCCTTGAGGTCATGTTGCCAGGTGTTTCTTGGACGGCATCTTCTTTGTTTTCCTTGGTGGTTCCACTTAAATTCCACTTAAGTGCCCTATCCAAACTCATCTTTTCTTCCTGATTTCTTCTTCAGCAGGGAAGTTTTGTGGGTCATTTCCCAGAGGTTGGTATCGCTGGTGTCAGGCCAGCAGATCTGGAGAATCCTTCTGAGACCGCTGTTGATGAAGGTTTGCACATTACTGATGGTCATTTTTGTCATCCTCCAGGTTTCAGCTCCAAACAGCAACACTGACTTCACGTTATAGGGTTGAACAGGCAGATCTTAGTTGCCGAGGACAGGTCTCTGGAGCTCCAGATGTTCTTGAGCTGTATGCAGGCAGCTTTTGCTTTGCCAATCCTTGCCTTGAAATCTGCGTCTGTGCCATTGGTCAGTGATGCTGTTGCCCAAGGTGAAGGACTGGACTTTTTGCAGGGGACTTCCATTCAGCATGACTGGATCCTTACTTGTGGATTTTATCTTGAGGATCTTGGTCTTATCTCTGTTAACGATGAGGCCAATCTGAGATGAAATATTTATCACTACATCAGTCCTCTCTTGCATCTGCTGTTTGTTGTGGGACAGAAGTACAAGGTCGTCAGCAAAGTCCAGATCCTCGAGCTGGGTCCATGTGGCCCACTGGATTCAGTTCCTTCACTCTCTAGTGGATTCCTCCATAATCCAGTCAGTGGCAAAAAAGAAACAGGAAGGGTGACAACAGGCATCTTTGTCTAACTCCTGTTTTCACCTGGATGCTGTTGGTGAGCTGCCCTCCATGGACTCCACAAAATATTCCATCAAAATATTTTCTAATCAGGTTAACTAAGCAAACAAACAAGTGAAAATATATTTTCACAATATGTCAGTGTTTCTGTTCCATGTGGTCTAGATACACTCTCTGGTAGCAGAGTTAGGACAACATTGTTGTTGTTGCCATGGTGAAACGTAGCTAATCTGGAAACAGTCCAAAGTCTCCAGGAAAGCTGATCTGGGATTCTTTGGGGAAATATTATGTATTATGCTTATTATTGGCTACGTGGCATTAAAATTAAATCAGAAAAACTGAAATTACCTGTGGTTTTATTTTATTACGCATGCTTGCGCCTCCTAACTAATATCTTTTTTATTTATTTATTTATTTTTTATTTATTTGATCGTTTTAAACAAGTATTCAACCAGGCACGTAGGCATGATCTTTTTTTCTGTTTGCAATCCACATTAATAAAGTAAATTGTAGTGTTGTTGCAGTTTTAAAAACCATCGTTAGATGGCGCCAGATGACCAAAATGAGAAACATACCGTATATATGCAGTTTAATGTTTTATTGGATTGCAATACCTTTAAACCAGTGGTGTAGTCGGGACCATACGCAAGTATACGCCGTATGCTTACTTTTTTCCCCGGAATGTTTGCGTATTACGACTTCTAAGGATCAATATTCGCGTATACCCTCGGTATACCCACTTGTTTTGTTGCTTCGCAAGTCCGTAATCTACTGTCATGTAGCGTCCACTTTAATGGTGTCCCATACTGCTGCTGTACTATTACACAATTCGTGATTCTTTGTAATTGGTGCAATATCACTTCTGTCATTCAACGCCGCTCATTGTCGCTCGCGCTAGGTGTTTTGAGCCGCACTGAGCGCAGTTCTCGTGCTGCAACAGTGGATACACGCCGTAAGGAAATATGGTAGTGAGTGCACGGATTTGAGTGGAGGCATTCTCTCGTTAGTAGCCTATCGAAAAAGGAAGCCCAATATGATAGTGCGGCCACGACGTGAAACAATTACTTTCGAATATTTTGACTAACACCC